ACAGAACCCATCATTGAATTTGGAAGATGAATTTGTCAATAGCATCTTCTGGAAGTGTTCTTTGAGTTATCTGATTTGGCAGAAACAATCATTGAATTTGGAAGATGAATTTGTCAATAGCATCTTCTGGAAGTGTTCTTTGAATTATCTGATCTGATTGGATAGAACCAATCATTGAATTTGGAAGATGAATTTGCTCATAGTAGAAATAAGGAGATTCAATAGCATCTTCTGGAAGTGTTCTTTGAGTTATCTGATCTGGTTTAGGAGGAACTACAGAAACAATCATTGGAATTGAAAGATGAACTGCATGATCGTCTTCATTAAGAAGTTTCTTTTCAAGCTTCTTCTGTTTATTATTTCCCAAAAATCATAGCACAAGTTTCGCCTTTGCTTGTAACTGGAATCATCACATAATGGCTTCCCATCTTTTACCGGAAGAAAGCTATTTGAAGTTTTAGCATCTGAGAATCCCACTTTTGTCAAGTATAACAGTTTATTCTCCTCATCAGAATCAGAATTCAAGATTTCTCGGTATTAGAAGAATTATCTATATCTGTGAAATCATCTTGAAAGGTCACTTCATAATCAAATGAGTTGTTATCAGAATCAACATGTTGCCTGAATACAAGCTTTTCAATAGCCTATACTATTAAGTTTTATTCTCAAGAGGTTTAGTAACATTATATTTACATTTGTCAAAGATGATGGATTCTCTGATTTGAAGAAGAAAGATCTATTGTGTTTCTACAACTGAAGAAATACTCAGTTCACCAATCTGAAATCAAATAACTTAACATTCATGCATCATATTTTAGGTGTTTACAAAAAATATGTGCATTTTCATTCATTTTCATCTATGTTGAATTTTTAACAGGAATTTCAAAGATTTTAGCAAAGACTCAAATCTATCACTTGATGGATTATTTTTTCCAGAGAAAGTTCATAATGAGAAGAACTCATCTGAAGAAGGAAGAAGAAGTTCATAATGAGAAGAATTTGTTCAACCTTTTACCTGAATCCATCATTTGATGGATCAGCTTTTCCAGAGAAAGTTCATAATGAGAAGAACTCATCTGAAGAAGGAAGAAGAAGTTCATAATGAGAAGAACTTGTTCAACCTTTTACCTGAATTCATCAAATTGATGGATTATCTTTTCCAGAGAAAGTTCAAAATGAGAAGAACCCATCTGAAGAAGGAAGAAGAAGTTCATAATGAGAAGAATTTGTTCAACCTTTTTTCTGAATTCATCAAATTGATGGATCATCTTTTCCAGAGAAAGTTCAAAATGAGAAGAACCCATCTGAAGAAGGAAGAAGAAGTTCATAATGAGAAGAATTTGTTCAACCTTTTTTCTGAATTCATCAAATTGATGGATTATCTTTTCCAGAGAAGGTTCATAATGAGAAGAACCCATCTGAAGAAGGAAGAAGAAGTTCATAATGAGAAGAATTTGTTCAACCTTTTTTCTGAATTCATCAAATTGATGGATTATCTTTTCCAGAGAAGGTTCATAATGAGAAGAACCCATCTGAAGAAGGAAGAAGAAGTTCATAATGAGAAGAATTTGTTCAACCTTTTTTCTGAATTCATCAAATTGATGGATTATCTTTTCCAGAGAAGGTTCATAATGAGAAGAACTCATCTGAAGAAGGAAGAAGAAGTTCATAATGAGAAGAACTTGTTCAATCTTTTGCTTGAATTCATCATTTGATGGATCAACATTGCCAGGTAGAGTTCATAATGAGAAGAACTCGTCATCTGAAGAAGGAAGAAGAAGTTCATAATGAGAAGAACTTGTTCAATCTTTTGCTTGAATTCATCATTTGATGGATCATCATCCCCAGCAGAAAGTTCATAATGAGAAGAACTCATCTGAAGAAAGAGAAGAATTTATTCAATATCTCCATTATAATCAAGTGAAGCCAAATGGATAAAAAAATTTATTATCTTTTCATCTTTGCCCTATTCTTGTTAACACAAGAATGAGCAAAGAGGGGCAGCTGAAGATACTAATTTTTTACCCATATTATTATTATTATTATTATTATTATTACTATTATTATTATTATTATTATTATTATCATTATTATTATTATTATTATTATTAAATATATATTAAACATATATATATAAATAATAATTACATACCAATTACAACTGGACCGGCCCAGTTACAAACCAACCATAACCGGTCCAAATCAAACCAGAAACCCTAAACATTTGGGTTTCCAGTTAGGGTTTCCTAACCCTAATCTAAACCAGCCGCCTCATCACAACCGTTGGATCTGGCACGATCCAACGGTCCAGATGGCTCCAGAGGGAAACCCTAGGGTTTGATACCCTAGGGCCACGCGGCGCCGCCCCAGTTTCCACGCGGCTGCCGACACTTTCTCGCCGCCTCCGCCGCTGCCACGTCCCGAATGAAGACTCCAGAAGATCAACGCCAGCCGTCCATGCAAGGCTACGGGGTGAGTCACCACTGGTAGTCCGGTGACTCACCGAGAGCCCTTCTTCGGACCGGTCCGACGGCTACAACGGTGGTGGCTATAAAAGCCACCACCCCATCTGCAAGAAAAAACCGGAGAGACAGAAACAGAGACAGAACCGAAGAGAAAGAAAAAAAACAGAGAAAGAAAAAAAACAACAACAAACTAAACCAACGATCTCAGTCAGCATCAACGCAGCAAGGAAAAAAGAGAGAAGAGAGGAAAAAGCTTACCCTGTCATCGGAGAGCCCCAACCGTCACCGGATCTCACCGGAACCTTCGAAACACCGAAGGTACTTTTGTAGATTCGCTCCGATTGGGAGTTTTTTAGGAGGAAACAATACCGGAACCGTCATTAGGACGGTCCGATCTATCTATTAGTATAAAAAAATAATTTTTCCGGCCACCGGATGCGGTGGCCGGCGGTGATAATCACGGCGGCACACGGTGGCCGACCGGTGACCGGCTTCCCTCCGGTGAGGGAAGCTAGAGAGAGGCGAGAGAGTTTTAAAACTCTCTCGGTTTAGAGAGAGAGAGGGAAATGAGAAATGAAAACTGGCCCTTCGGGCCAGCCGGTTTGGGACCATATATAGTCCTTCCCGAACGACGTCGTTTCGGGAAAGACTATGCGCGTAATTATAAAATAGTTAAACCCCGTCCGTAGTCCTCCGTATTTGTAAATTTTACATTTTAGTCACTAAATTAAATTTATAATATTTTTAATTCAGTCTTCGAATTTTAATTTCTTTTATTTTAGTCCTTCATATTAAAATAATATATTTAGGATAAATAACAGATTTAATCCCTTAATTTTAATAAATAATATTTTAATCCCTAGTTCATATTTTTAATTTATTTTATTCTAATATCTTAATTTTAGATAATTTTATTTTAGTCACTAAATAAATAAAATAAAAAAAAAATAACATATTTAATCCCTATAGTTTTGGTTAATTATGAATTAGATTTTTAATTTTATTTTTACTGTAATTTAGTCATTTATTTTATATGTTTTATTTATTTTTTTTAATATATTGTTTTAATAGAATTTTTCTTTTATTATATTGTTAAATATTTTTATATATATTCATAAATATATATAATAAATAGTAACTTTTAAATATTTAATATCGAAGAAAAGGACAGTCTTAATACAACTGGATGTCCTATTCTGATATTTTAAAATTAAAAATTAAACAATATTATTTTAATATTTATCAATATCAAAGAAAAGAGATGTCTTAAGGCACCTAGAAGTTCTTTTCTGATATTTTTAAATAAATAAATATATTTTTTGAAATAATAAGATTAGAAATTAAATATATTTTTGAATTTTTAAATTTTAATAATAGAGACAATTTATAATTAAAAAGTACCAATTTTGGGCGTTGTAGGGGTGCTAATCCTTCCCTAAACGTAACCGACCACGAATCCCTTTTTTATTATTAAAAAAGAACGAATTTTTGGTTATAAACGCAGATCAGTTCATTTTTTTTATTAGTGTTTTCTTAAAACTCTTTTAAAAAAAATAATTTTTAGGTATTCGACCTACCTGACCCAAAAGACCGATGGCGACTCCCAAATTATTTTCAAAATTATTTATTCACATCAACTTCCCCGCCAAAATAAATATTTCGTGCCCGGACGAAAACCGGTTACGACAATATACATTTTACTTAAAAATATTTGTTAAAATTGGAATTAATATCCTTGAATTGTCAATGTCAATAACAATGACCCTTCATGTGGGCTGTGGTTTTTGTGTCCAGAGATCATCTGCTACCCGTACAGTGGCAGGTGGGCGCGACTCTGGGTGTTTATGGTGCTATTTAAATTTGTGTGTAGAGTAGATGTCTATGCAGCTCTACATTAAAAGAATTCATTTGAAAGGTCTAGGGTTAGGTTTGACGACTTGACATCTCTCCATTATTTTTTTTAATATTTGATTTAACGTTGTGGTGGGTCTTATTTAAATGGTATATTTGTTTATCGTAAAATAAATTACAGAATTAATTTTCTTTGAAATTTCGTGTTTGTTTTATGTAATTTATTTTTTGAAAAATGTTTTTTTGTATTTGTTTTATGTAATTTATTTTTTGGAAAATGTTTTACCGTGTTTGGTTGAAGGAAAACTAGTTGGTTAACGTAATTCATTTTCCTGATCAACATAATTTCCTTTGTGTTTTCTGAAAAATGGCTTACGGTCTGATTTTCCATAAGTCATTTTCTGAACTTTTCACTTTAAATAATAAATACTAAAAATAATTTTATTTTATGAATTTAATATTAATAAAATATTTTAATATTATTTTCATCAAAATAATAATTATTAAAATATTTAAAATATATTTATTAATATTTATAATAATATAATATTATATTTATAAAGGAAAATCACATGGCTTAACAACTCCCTCAGCCTCAAGGCTACTCACAAGCCCACAAGAATCAACATTATGATCATTCAAAACAGTGGATTTGTCAGCAGTAACAGTTTGCAAAGAGACAGTTCACAGGCCAGCAGCCTGTGTGATCACACTAGGTTCCTGCAGTTCATGGACAGAGGATTCCATGGCAACACCAACCTGGAGATTCGATTCATGAGTCCCCCCTAGTGAGCTGTCAGGAAGAGAATCAGAACCAGGAATCTTCCTAGAACCTTCAACAGTACCATTTAGAGATCCCTTACTTCCAGCCTCCCCAGCGTGAATGCCTTCTTTCTTCCTCCAGACTTGGACTTCTTTAGGCTTCACAGAAGATTGTCTAACCTCAGTACATGAATTAACATGATGCCCAAACACTTTACACATAGAGCAGGACTGAGGTATCCATGGCACACGTACCTTTATTCTCACAATTGATCCATCCCTAAGAGTTACATGAATATCCTCAGGGAGAGCACTGCCAGCTTCAATCTCTATACACAGTTTAGCAAATTCCAGCCTCTTACGAGAAGCAGTGATAGAGTCCATATAGAGGGGAGTACTTAGCGCACTAGCTATGTAACTAAGCCCCTTTTGAGAGTAAAGTTCAAGTGGGATATTGTAGAGTTGCACCCAAACATGCATTAAAGCTATATCAAAATTAAGTCTCTGCAACCCAGGTTCACACATCCTCAGAACCAGGGGTTTGTTCTGGACATGCCAGGGACCGTTTTCGAGTACCCAGTCCCTCAGATTAGCATCCAAGAATGAAAAGACGTAAAGATTAGGGCCAGCTAAACTAACCTTAACCTGCAAAGAATTCCCCCAAATCGAATCAATGATACGCTGCATTGAGGTAAACCTAGGAGCCGCACCTATGAACTGACCCACTAGGGCATTATTTCAATCAGCAATGCCTTCCTCGATCACCTCAAGAGGAGGCTTAACCGTGATAACTCCATATCAAATATCAGGGGAAAGAAATCCAGCGATTAGTTCTTCGAACCCACAAATAAGTTCCTCCAATCAAGGCTCACGCTCGTCGAATCCATACAATTGAATCAAGAAACAACTACATCAATCCTTACTAGAAGATACGCAGAAAGAATCAGAGGGAATGAGAAGAAGCTGAGGACCCATTAGTCCAGCTAACGTGCGCCCAGAGAAACTTCACTTCAGGATTCTCTGAAGAAGAAGACTAGGGGAAAGAAAAAAGAGTCTGCTGGATCCTCAAGTAAGCCAAATTATTTGGTAGATTGTCCTAGATAGACTAGGGTTGCCTCTATGGGTGTAGCTATGCTACTTAATGAGATCAAGGCAAAGAAGAGGGATCATTTGGATAAAACAAAGAACAATGTGGTGAATTTGGGTACTGTGTGTGATGTCCATGTTTCTTCTTGATGATAGTGAGCTTTTGGAACGTTAGGGGGATTAATAACCCCCTAAAACAATTAAAAGTGCTCAAGAGGTTGGATTCTTATGAAGTGGATGTTATCTGTCTTATGGAGTCTAGGATTAGAAGGGAAAATTCTATCAAATTCTCTTTTGCCCTTTCTGCTGACTGGAATCTAGTTGGAAACTATGACTGTGTGGAGGGGGCAGATTATGGATTATTTGGAAGAAGCATGTGTCTTTTGTTGTGTTGAGTTGTTGTGATCAGGCCATTTCCATTATTGGTAATATTGTTGGCCTTAGTACTGTTATAACATCTGTTTATGGTAGCAATAATGATATTACTAGAAGAGGCCTTTGGGAGCATTTGAGGTCTGTTGAGAATGACCTTGGTTCCTCTGCTTGGGTGATTGGTGGAGACTTCAACATAATTACCAGAGCTGAGGAAAGTTCAGACTTTGAGGCTATGTGAGTCCACAATTCCCCTGACACGAAGGAGTTCCAAGACTGCCTGGAAGAGCTTGACTTGATGGATCACCTTTTCCTTGGGCCTACCTTCACATAGTCAAATAGGCATGGAGGTTTCTTTTTAGCTCGGAAATTAGACAGAGTTCTGGTTAATCCTAAGTGGTTACTAGATTATCCTGAATCTTTTGTGGAGTTCAAAGCACAAGGAGTTTCTGACCACTTCCTTGGGGTATTATAGACACATAAGGGTGCTTTGGCTAAAAAGCCTAGGCCTTTCAAGTTTTTTAATTGTTGGGCCTCGCATGACAATTTTCTTAGTATAGTCAAAGACTCTTGGCAAGTGCATTGTGCAGGTTCTGCCATGCAAGTTCTGTTCAGCAAATTGAGAAGGCTTAAACCTCTCTTAAAAGAGCTCAATAAGGATTTTTTCTCTGATATTTCTGGAAGAGTGAAGGGGAAAAGAACTGAACTGGAGCAAATACAGATTCTTAATCTGACTCATGCTGAGCAGAGGAGAGTTGATGAGGAGAAAAGAATTCATGATGATTTTGTTAACTTGGAAGTAGTTGAATCTGAGTTCTTTAGACAGAAGGCTAAGTTGCATTGGTTGAATGAGGGGGACCTCTATACCAGGTTCTTTCATCAGAGGGTAGAATCTAATAAAAAGAGGAATACTATTAGAGTAATTAAAGGAGAAGATGGTTAATTTTTTGACACTTTTGAGGGTATGGCTGTTGAATTAGTGAGATTCTTCACTAATCTGATTCGTGTTGAGGATCCTTATGTTAAGGGAAGTTCTGTTGAGGTTCTAAAAGACCTGCTAAACTACTAACTGCCAGAAGGAGCTGCTAATTTTTTAATTAGAGAAGTTAGTGATATGGAGATTAAGGAGGCCCTGTTCAAGTAAGGAAAGAACAAGAGCCCAGGTCCTGATGGGCACACCTCTGGATTTTACAAGGCTGCCTGGGACATTATAGGTGCTGATTTTTCTTCTTCTATGAGGTATTTTTTCCAGTCCTCCTGTTGTTGTCAGCTTTCAATGCCACTGCTATTGTTTTAGTGCCTAAATCCCTTAATGCATACCTTGCTAAGGAATTCAGGCCTATTTCTTACTGTTCAGTAGTTTATAAAACTATCACCAGAATCTTAGTTAACAGACTTGCCCCCTTCTTTCCTGGTATGATATCACTTAGTCAATCAGCCTTTGTCAAGGGTAGAAACATTATTAACAACACCTTGCTAGCCCAGAAAATTGTTAAGGGCTACTCTAGGAAGAGTTTTTCTCCTAGATGTACAATTAAAATAGATTTACAGAAGGCTTTTAACTTTGTTAGTTGGGGTTTCTTATTGAGTGTTCTTGCTGCTATGGGGCTCCCTGATATTTTCTGTAATTGGATTAAAGCTTGCATTACTACCCCTATGTTCTCTCTCTCTTTAAATGGTAGCTTGGTGGGGTATTTCAGAGGAGCTAGGGGGATTAGGCAAGGAGATCCTTTATCTCCTTACCTATTTGTTATTGCCATGAATGTTATGTCCTCTCTCTTAGATGCTGCTGCTAAACATGGTATTTTTAAGTTCCACCAGTGTAGAAGAATTTTCCTCACTCATTTTTGCTTTGCGGATGATCTACTTGTTTTTTGCTATGGCTCTTTGGATGTTGTGCTGGGAGTCCAAAGCACATTAGACAGGTTTTATGATCTGCCTGGCCTTAAATTGAATGCTCATAAGATAGAATTGTATGCTTGTGGTTTGAATGCGCTTGAATTGGAGCAAATCAGATTGGTTACTGGTTTCAGATTGGGACAACTTCCTGTGAGGTATCTTGGGGTACCTCTGGTGACCCGTAAGCTCATAGGAAAAGACTGTGAGGCACTTCTGACAAAGATTAAGGATAAGCTCAGGCACTGGTCCAACAAGAACCTGAGTTATGGTGGTAGGCTTCAATTGATTAAAAATGTTCTGTTCAGCATGTTTAACTATTGGAGTAGACAGCTGGTCTTGCCTAAGGGAATTATTAAGGATATTGAACGCCTTTGTATGCGTTTTTTCTAAAAGGGCAGTGATTCATCAGCAAAAGGAGCTCGAGTGGATTGGAGCCAGATCTGCTCCTTGAAGTCTGAGGGTGGCTTAGGCCTTAGAAGTCTTGTAGTCTGGAATAAAGCTTGTTGTTTGCTCATTGTAAAAAACATATTGGCCAATGAAAGTTCTCTCTGGATTGCCTGGATTAAAGAATATTGCTTCAAAGCAGTTATATATTGGGATGTAGAGTGCAAAGCCCATTTCAGCTGGATCCTGAGCAAGCTGCTGAGTATGCGAGAGGAGGCTAGCCGGTTATTCCCCCTTGCGTGAACTGGAACCTTATTAAAGGTAGTTGGATATGGGACAATATCATGGATTGCAGGGTGAAGGTTAACTAGCACAGGTTGATCTGATTTCATTATCTCTTCAATTCCTCATTCATTTTAAGTCTATTTTTTAATCAAAGTTGAACCATGTGCTCCTAAACCATAGTAGAATACTTGTGTAGTTTCAATTCCTCGTTTTGATAACAATTTCATAATCTCCTTATTTCTTTAATTCATCATTTATTTTAAGTCTTTTTTTTACCAAATTTGAGCCACGTGCTCCTAACCCATAGTAGAATACATGTGTACTTTCAATTCATTTTTTGATCACATTTTTTATTTTTCAATTTAGTCATTCAATTTTTCATAATCTCCTTATTCTTTCAATTTGTGATTTATTTTAAGTCTTTTTTTTACAAAATTTGAACCGCATGCTCATATACCACAATAGAATACCTATGTAACATTAATTGTTATTTTTTTACTAAATATGTACTCTCTTTTTATTTAGTCCCTTAACTTTACATTTTACTTAATTTGGTCTTTTGACAACAATTGTTTGTAAATTCTTTCTTCGCATCAATTCCTTAACTCATTTATACTCTCATCAATAATTTACCCTTAAAATACTTTCTTTAAAATATAATATTATGAATATATTTCATAATTTTAGATTGTATTTAATATATTAAATAACATTATAATATGAAAGAATATTATATATATATATATATATTATGGTTAGATAAAATCAAAAAATTGGAACAAATCATTGTCATAATACTATAAATAATTATAATAAAATTAGTATAGAAACTCGAATATCTCGACTCGACTCGAAAAAAATTTAATGTTAAGTTCAAGTTGTAAAATATGACTCGTCAACTCGAATAACTCGAAATTTTTTGACTCGGCTCGATCGAATGCTCACCCCTAACTGCGTTGGTGATCTGGTGTATGTGTAGTCAGTGACAGATCTAGAAATTTAAGAATAAGGTTCAAAATTTTAATTTTCCTTTCATAAAAATAATGGGTATGCAATTTTTTTCTTTTTTATTTAACACATTAAGTTAAATTTAATCATTTTCTCAAAATAATGGGATGTACTTAACTCCTAGCAGGGCTTAGTGTAAATTTTGGGTTTTAAGGCGGGCCAATTTTTATTTTGAAAAATGCGACAAATACTATCGTGTTCAAGGAACTCGTCACGAGGTGGAAATTTGAGAATAGACGCACTGTAATTTTTATTAATAGAATTTCTCATAATTGCATACATTTGATCATCTCTTTCTGCGAAAAACACAACAGAAAAATGTACATCACTGGTCAAAATTTGTATCAGTTCATTATTTGAATTTTTTTAGCAGTGTAGGCTACTAACGCAAGCTTGAAGTGAGATTAATGAAGACATCTTCTCTGCAAGGAATTGTGAGACCACCCATAGGATGATTGAATCCAAATTCTTCCTCAGCTACGCTTAACAACTTTTGAAAGGATGGCTGATTCAAAAGTGAAATTGGAACTATAAATCTCTTCTTTTGGCTCTCCCCAACATAGACTGCAAAGCATCCTTTGGGAACATTCGTTGAAGTCGAGGTTGTTTCATTTACAAAGAGTTTAGATTGACGAAGAATCTGCTTAGCTTGACTAATTCTTGGCACAAGGATGGCCATTGCTGTTGGTAATTTGGAGTATGAAGTAGTTCCGAAAAAACTTGAAAAGATGAATTGTAGAGGAAGATGTGAGAATTTGTATTGGATAATGCACTTGTATATATAGATGGATGAATGTTTAATGAAAGCTAATGGATTGAGTGGTTGCAATGTATTCTGGTGGGGTTTGGTCAGAAAACATAAGAAACTCAATCACATGCTTGTGTCTTCCAACAGATTACCAAGAAATAAGTAGTTATTGAGACTGTACATCGTTTAATCCATTTGTGTCTTACAATTACATGTTGATGATATGCTAATTTAGAATTTAGTAGATATATCTATGGTATCAAACTATCAATCCATTTTTGGTTAACCTAACGGGGCCTCTTCATATTAATTATGTCTAAAAACTTTGGTAATCTTCACCTGACTTGGTTGGATTTTGTTCAGATCAGTAGACCACCCTTGTTTGACTAGTTTATTTTTTCCACATGAAGATGTTTACACGGAAGAAATACATCCACGCAAGTAAGTTTAAACAGGAATATCCAGCTGTTAAAGGCAAATAAACATAAGAAATTTATAACATGTCCAAGAACCAAAAACTGGCTTGTGTTTCTTCGTTGCAGTAACTCATAGGACAAGCACTTGTGAAGAGCGCCTGAAGTGTGTCCTACAGGCTTGAACTTATCAAAATGATATTATTTGTTGTGATGCAAGGCCATGTGATTTCTCCCAATAGATGTTTCCAAAGCATTCTCTCTCCGCCACTCAATTTGACTGAGACTGCTGACCATATACAGCATTTGATCTTTATAAATATAGATTCTAATGGATAGCTTACCCTGTGCCAAAGACCTTCTAAGATACTTCTCTAAGTTCCAATTCCACACTCTCATTTCCTCATCTTAAGAAATCTCACAAACACCATGGGTTTCCGCTTGCCAAGAATTGTTAATGCTAAGAGTCTGAAACGGAATCTTTCATCTTCAGAGATGACTATGGTGCCTAAAGGCCACTTTGCTGTTTATGTTGGAGAAGATGAAAAGAAGAGATTTGTAGTCCCAATATCATTCCTGAAGCATCCTTCATTCCAGAATTTGTTGAGCGAAGCTGAAGAAGAGTTTGGTTTCAACCACCCTATGGGTGCTTTAACAATCCCTTGCAGCAAAGAAACTTTCGTTAATCTCATTTGCAGTCTGCAAAGCTCACTAGAAGAAATGATGAAAATTGGCTAACCAAGTAGATATTTACTGATATTTAGCTCAACTGACACCTCTCCAATTTTATTGTCCAAGAATCAAGTGTGTAAGGAGGATTGTTTTCTGCAAACCCATGCCCTTGTCAACTATGTTAAATTTTGTAACCAATACATAAGTGCCATTTTTTTTTCAGAGAAAATCTTTCGTTTCATGAATTATGTTTCTGATGTTGTATGGTTAATTTCAAGTTTCAACCAAGTTGTGTTTTCCTTGTTCTGAAGCCTTTTACTTCAAATCCTGCAATCGTGTATCACTTAACCTATGATCTTTTATGCCTGGTTAAAAAGGCTTCTATGCATTTAAAAGATCTATTTTCTTGGAAATTCAGCGCTTTTCCCTTGCAAAAAAAGCTCTGCTTTTTTCGGAAATATGGGGTCCATGTATAAGCATCTCATTTTAGACCTCTTTGCTGGCAGTGTGGCACACTTCAGATAAAAATGAATGATTATCATGTTGAATTCTGCTGATTCATAACAGCTTTGATTTGGTCTTCAGTAATTAGTTTGTTTTTCTCCTTAAATCTTTTAGTTTGTTAGTCAAAATAAGTTATGATTTATTGCTGTTAATATCTTTGTTTAGTTGAGATTTTTCTTTTAAGTATTACTTTGTAAGCCTATAAATAGGCATCTTTGTTTTGAATAATATAAGGTATTTCATTCAACTGTCATACTTGCTATCACATTTACTTCTGATGAAAATAGCTCAACAGACTTCCACTAAACACACCAGACACTAGCCCTACAAACTCACCATAATCTATTAGTCAGTCTTCTGATGAAACACCTCGATTAAAATACAAATCCTTAAAAGAGATTTATAAGACTTACAATTTTGCTTTGTTAGTTTCAGATCCACTCACTTTTATGCAGGCAGTAGAAAATAAGGATTGGTGCAGAGCAGTAAGGAAGAAATCATGGCTATTGAGAAAAATGAAACATGGATGCTTGTTGACCTGCCTGAAGGTAAAAATGCTATTAGATTGAAAAGGGTGTTTAAAACAAAATGTAATTCAGATGGAAGTGTCCAGAGCATAAAACTCGATTGGTGAATAAAGGGTATACTCAGCAGCAAGGTATTGACTTTGATGATACATTTTCTCCTGAAGCTCGACTGCTCGTTTTGAAATAGTGAGAACTTTTCTAGCCTTGGTTGCACAAATACAATGGCCGGTGTATCAGTTTGGTGTTAAAAAAACGTTTTTAAATGGTGACTTGAGTGAGGAGGTGTATGTTATGCAGCCAAAAGATTCATTATCCAAGGGAAGGAAGAGAAAGTGTACAGATTGAGAAAGCCTTTGTATGACCTAACAAGCTCCTCCAGCATGGTATAGTAAGATTGATGACAAAATTTACACGGGATCATCTCACTCTCTTATTGATGAATTCAAATTGAGCATGATAAAAATATTTGATATGACAGATTTAGGTTTGCTTCATTATTTTCTTGGGTTAGAGATTAAGCAAGGTGAAGATGGCGTGTCTATCTGTTAAAAGAAGTATGCAGAAGATCTTAAAAGATTTAACATGCAGAATTGTAAGGTAGCAATTACTCCAATGAATGTTAATGAGAAATTGCAGCTTGAAGATGAAACAGAAAAAATTGATGCAAGAGCCTTCAGGAGTTTAATTTGTGGGTTGATGTATCTATCTCACAGGAGACCAGATATTGTGTTTTCTGTTGGTATGGTTTCAAGGTTTATGCAAAGTTCTACAAAATAACATTTTGGAGCTGCTAAGAGGATTCTACGATACATTGCTGGAACCACAAATTATGGAATTTGGTTCTCTCATGCTCGTAATTTTAATTTGGTTGGCTTTACTGATAGTGATTGGGCAGGGTCTTTAGGATATATTTTCAGCATGGGTTCAGGTGCCATAACATGGAGTTAAAAAACGAGGAGTAACAGCACTTTCAACTTCAGAGGCTGAATATGTCGCTGCCACTTCATTGGCTTGTCGAGCTATATGGCTTAGAAGATTACTTGCAGATATGAATCAAGAACAAAAGGAGGCAAGTAAAATATTTTGTGATAACAGACCAACTATTGCAATCACAAAGAATCCAACGATGCATGGGAGAATAAAGCACATTGATATTCGATTTCACTTCGTCAGAGATTTGGCTGCAGGTGAATTGCTTTGAAATTTTGCAGCACTCATGATCAACTTGCAGATATATTCACAAAATCCCTTCCTTGTGAAAAGCACGTTAAATTTAGAACTCAACATGGCGTGTGAAGTCATGAATCAAGGGGGAGTGTTGAATTTTGTTGATTCATAACATCTTTGATTTGGTCTTCAGTAGTTAGCTTATTTTTCTCCTTAAATCTTTTAGTTTGTTAGTCAAAATAAGTTACGATTTAGTACTGTTAATATCTTTGTATAGTTGAGATTTTTCTTTTAAGCAGTACTTTGTAAGCCTATAAATAGGCATCTTTCTGATAAATAATATAAGGGTATTTCATTCCACAGTCATACTTGCCGTCATATTTACTTCTTTCTTTGCTTTGTTTCCAACATATTATCCTTGGTTCAAACTATGTTTCGAGGCCAAAACTAACATTAAACAAAATTTCAATCAGCCTTTTGTTGCACGTAGCGCATTTCCGTTAAGTTTTAAGCAATTGATTGGTCTGTAAGATACAAGTTCCAGAACGCTATAGCCTATGACTCATGTTAGATGTTTTTTTATTTCCATTTTGCATTCTCTTTTCTTATATAAATTAGCCATTTAGAAGCAACAGTTTGAGACTTTCCTTTAAACATAAAATTGAACAATCAGACGAATCCAAAATTCAACGTTTACAATTTTTGTTTTCTACTCTAAACTAAGGAGAGGTAAGCTACCATTACCCTGTTGGCTGCCTGCATATTTCATAATTTGCAAAAATTGGAGGTCAAGTTAATTTTAATAGGGGTTGTTTCTTGTTTAGGACTCTAGAAATTGATGGTCACTATCATTCTGTATTGTGATTATTAACAATACTCCTGAAAATTAGCAATGTAAACCGAACAATGGTTTTAACGAGAGGAAAATTGAGAATGGAACAACTGTAAGTTGTATTAATAAAATTTCTCAGAATAGTATACAGTTGATCATCTGGTTCTGCCAAAACAACAGAAGGATGTACATCAATGGTCAGAAATCATATCAGCTGATTAAATTGTTTTAGCATTAGGCAACTAATGCAAGCTTGAAGTGAGATCAACGAAGGCCTCTTCTATGCAAGGAATTGTGAGACCACCCATAGGATGATTGAATCCGAATTCTTCCTCGGCTATACTTAACAACTCCTGAAACGAAGGCTGGTTCAAGAATGAAATTGGAACTATAAATCTTTTCTTTTGGCTTTCCCCAACATAGACTGCAAAGTATCCTTTGGGAACATCGGTTGAGGTGGTGGCTGCTTGATTTGTAAACAGTTTAGACTGACGAAGAATCTGCTTAACATGCATAAGTATAGGCACACGGATAGCCATTGGTTTTGGTAATTTGGAAGTATGACAAAGATCAGAGAAAACTCTAAAAATTGAATGGTAAAATTTGCTTGTAGAGAGGATGTGAGAATGCCTTGTCTGTGTTGTGGATAATACACTTGTATATATAGATGGAAGAATGTATATGAGATTCTAAAGAATTGCAGAATTAGTGGTTACAATGTATTCTGGTGGGGTTTGGTTAGAAGACATAAGATGCTCAAGATCACATGGTTTTGTCTTGCAACAGATCATCAAGAAAGGGGCTGATATTTAGACTCTACATCTGTTAGAACATGCATTATTGCCCTGTCATTAATGGATTGTCAACTAGTTTAATTATGTGTTCAAAATAGTCATGTCATAGAACAAATAATAGAAGCAGCTGTGTTCTTCAATCCTAATTATCAGCAAACAAGTGGGGTTGGCATACCGAGTCGTAGTTGCCACTTGCCAGTGGATATATGATTATTTTGATATTTTCTGGTCTCTCCTTCATAGCATGTCATCCATATGATCTGCTAAGTCCATAGTTAAGTGCAGTCATCATCTTCTGGACTTGATTCAATGATAATAGTATTTCACAATGAGCTATTATTGTTGGTTTCATTCAATGGTAAGCTCTAAGGTACCAAACTTGTCATAACTTTGTTATTTGTTGGGATGCAGGCCATGTGATGCTTCCCAATTTATGTCTCCAAAGCAATCTCTCTTCACCATTCAATTAGTCTGAGACAGCTGACCATATACATCATTTGCTGTTTATAAATACAGATTGTAACGGATAGCTCCACCCAGTGCCAAAGCCTTTCCTAGCTACTTCTCTAAGTTCCAATTCCGCACTCACGTTTCCTCATCTTAACAGTCTCACAAACACCATGGGTTTCCGATTGCCAATAATTGTTAATGCTAAGCCGGGTCTGAAACGAACTCTTTCATCTTCGGAGACAACGGTGGTGCTTAAAATTGGCTAACTAAACAGACATTGACTGATATTTAGCACAACGGACACCTCCCAAATTTTAGTCTATAGGAAGCAAGTGTGTAAGGTGGATTGTTATCTGCAATCCCATGCCCTTGTCAACTATATTAACTTTTGTAACAAATGTATAAATGCCAAATTTCTTTCAGAGAAATTTTCTTTTCATGAATTTTGTTTATGATGTGTGGGTAATTTCAGCCAAAATCTATCATCCAAGTTGTGAAGCACTTTATTTCACATTCTGCCATTAACCTATTAGACGGATTCCAATAGTTTTCAATTTTTTATAAATTATAAATATTTTTATTTATATTATAATAATTCAAATTCTGTAAGTCCGGGTTAAATGAGGGTTTCATGCATTAACAGGGTCTATTTGCATGAAAGTTCAACTTATTTCCCTGCAAATTAAATATGGATGATCAATTATCCCCGGTTTAATGTATGGTTTTGAGGATTAACCTTAATTCATATGGATCTCTGTAGTCCAAATATGGTGACTGTAGGAGATTAACTTGATATCATTTCATTACAAGATTGGTTGGTGTTCCTGTTAAACCAATTGCTTAAAATATTGAGGCTTTCCTCAGTTGTTGAGAGCACAAATTAAACAATGTCACATGGTTTGGCAATTAGTTTCATTCTGATCTGTATAACTCTTCCACTGTAGTTATCAGGAAACATGTAGGGCTTTGCATACCGATAGGTTTTTCTGGTCAGCACTCAACTACTTGGTATTTCATCCATATGATCTGCTAAGCTAATGTTATTATCATCTGAATAATAGTATTTTAAATGGGTGATTTTTGTTGGCTCCATTGAATGTTCAGCTATGGTAGATTTGCAGCAGACTGAACTTAAGATAACAAACTTGTCAAAATGTTACGGTTAGTTGGGAGGCAAGACCATGTGATTCCCCAAACCATATATCTTCTAAAGATTTCTCCATTGGAATTTCTTCTGGACCACACATTCAGCCTCAGATTACTTGACCAATGCCATAAACCATTTTCTAACCCTCTCTATAAATACACATTCTAAGAACAACCCCTCAATGCCAAAGCCTTTCCAACCAGCTACTTGCATTTCTTCTATCTACCACTAGTGAACAGAATCCAAATTCATCACAAAAATCATGGGTATTCGCTTGCCAAGAACTGTTAACTCCAAGAGTCTAAAATGGAGTCTTCCATTTTCGGAGACGAAAATGGTTCCCAAAGGCCACTTTGTTGTTTATGTCGGAGAAGCTGATGAAAAGAAGAGATTCGTTGCTCCAATTTCATTTCTGAATCATCCTTCCTTCCAAAAGTTGCTAAGTGAAGCTGAAGAAGAGTATGGATTTAATCATCCAATGGGTGCTCTAACCATCCCCTGCAGTGAAGAAGCCTTGATCTCATTTGCACTTTCCAAAGCTCATGAAAGTTAGATTTGATGGCAGCTAACCAGGCAGAAACTAATCAATTTGTTTTATATAGGAAGGGAGTGCAATTGGTGAATTGTTTTAAGCAATCCCATGCACTTGAAACTACAATTATTTTTTGTAATCATTCTTTAAATGAGAACGAAAATATATCTTTACCAAACATATTCTTTTCACTGATATTTTTTGCTCAAAGAATTCGCTTAGATTGCATGATTCTAGGCACACGGATAGCCCTTGCATTCAGTAATTTGGAGTACGAAGAGCAAAGAAAACAATAGAAAATGAAATATAAGATTTGCTTGTGAAAGAGAGAGGGTGTGAGAATTTCTTTGCTGTGGTGTGGATGATAGCATGGGATGTGAAGAGGGAAATCAAAGTCCGAAATTAATAATTATAAATATGAAAATATTCACGGTAAAAGAAAACAAAGAGTTAAATAGCCTTTATAACCCTTACTAGATAATATATTAAATACATATATAAGGGTAAACTACATCACTCATCACTCAACTATCTTCTCACTACTATTTTGATCACTAAAGTTTAATTTTTTTTAATTTAATTACTAAACTTTTGAACTATTCCTATTTTAATCACTCACGCTGACAATGGATTATTTTATTGTAATATTAAATATTTTATTAATATTAAATGTCACATAAAATTAAAATAAAAAATTTTAAATTCAAAATTATATTCCTAAATATTAGATCAAAACCTTAATCTCAAATTCATACCCCAACCCTAAAACTCATAATCACATCATCTTGTTGATTTTTCTACCTCCAGCTACACCACCTCCCGTCACTCCTCCATCAGCTTCACCTCACACAAGTCCAAAAAATCCTCAGTGACCAAAAAATCCCATATAATATACGATTTTAACCAACTTTTTCTGGATTTGCCAAAATGACCAACAAAATCGCAATGCGATTGCTAATTCGCAACGCGATCTCCATTATCGCAAATTCGAGTTGCATTTCGCGTTGCGATGGTCTACAGTGTCGTTGCGATTTTCCCAATTCGCAATGCGAATAAGTAAATCGCAACGCGAATAAGTAAATCGCAACGCAAATTGGGAAAATCGCAATGCGATACTGACTATCGCAATACGAATTTGGAAAATCGCAATGCGATACTGACTATCGCAATGCGATTTTCCTAATTCGCATTGCGATTTACGTATTCGCGTTGCGATTTTCATAATTCGCAATGCGAATACGTAAATCGCAACGCGAATTAGTAAATCGCAATGCGAATTAAGAAAATCGCAATGCGAATACGTAAATCGCAATGCGAATCTTACCATCGCAATGCGATTTACATAGCGCCATTCGTATTAACGCGTATTTTTTTTTCAAATTCCAAACACGAATTTTTTCTTAATAAATCGGAAACTGAACCGTCCACAGTAATCGCAACTCATAACCTCAAACCCAAAATCACAAAACTCAGTCCCATCTCCATCTCTCACTTTCTACGGCAAAATCCGTCCCCATCTCCGAAGATTTCCGTCCCCATCGCCGACGAAATCCCTCACAACCATTCACAGTCAAAAATCCCTCACAATCATTCAAAAATGGAAAATCAACCTCCGAGGGTTAGTTTTTTTTTTTTTTTGAAATTTTTGCATTATTTTAGGTTTTTCATATTGAGATTGATGATAAGTTTACTGGTAATTTCAATAATAGATTAACCATTTCACTTAGATTTCTTATTAAATTCATTTGATTGCTGCCAATACTGCTAAACTGTTTAGCCTGTGAAGTTAGTATTTGTCTTTGTTTTGTCTTTTGGTTGAAGTAATGCAGAAGAAGAATAGTTTCGAGAATGAAAATCGCAACGCGGAAATAACTATCGCAACGAGAGAATCGTAACGCTAAATAAAAATCGCAACGTGAAACCAAAATCACATTGCGATTTTCATTTCGCGTTGTGATTTTCATTTCGCGTTGCGATAGTCATTTCGCGTTGCGATTCTCTCGTTGCGATAGTCATTTCCGCGTTGCGATTCTCATTATCTCGTTGCGATTTTCATTTCAACCAAAAGACAAAACAGTGTTGCAAATTTTAGTTTCAAGAATAAACTACTATTTATGTTTATTGTTTTTGGTATATATTGACAGTGTAGTTTTTGGTATATCTAACTTGGTATGTTTATTGTTTTTGTAGAAATTTTTTTCGGCTTCATTGACATTAAGGAATAAAGTTAGCCTAGCCACTACAATTGCTTCGAAGCTTTCACCTGCACAAAGAAAATTATTTGAGGAAACCTGCTTCGGGCCATGGCTGAGAGTACAGCATCCGGGTGGAGAGGCTAATTTGACCCATTTGTGGCTTCAGACCATGACTAGCGATCTACCCGACAGTATACAACGTGGTGAGGAAGAGATATGGTTTCATTTTCCACCGACGTATACTTGTTTTGGGCGGAAGGAGTTCTGCTTAATCACTGGTCTACGATTCGGACACGATGATGTAGGCCGGTACACTCGTCATATCACCCGCCCATCATGGTTATCCAGGGTTTTTCCTGATGAGTCAATAGAGAAGCCGAACTTACACGTCGACGACATGAAGAAATTGTTTAATAAGAAAGATGGTTTTACTCGGATGAATGACGTCGATGTTGTCCGAGTATGCCTTCTACTACTTTTGTATACCGGCTTTTTAGGCAGAGAGGTCAGACAACCTATTCCTCAGGAGCTAATATTATTGGTAGAGGACCTAAATGCAT